CCATGTTGGCCAGGCGGGTCTCGAACTCCTGACCTCAGGTGATCCGCCTCGGCCTCCCAAAGTGCTGGGATTATAGGCATGAGCCCCCGCAACCTGCTGTCTCTCTATCTCTCTCTATCCTCCTCTCTCATCCCTGTCTCTCTCGTCCTCCCATCTCTGTCTCGCTTTCTCTGTCTTCCTCTCTTATCTCTCTTCCTCTGTCTCTGTTCCTCTGTCCCTCTCTCTCTGTGTCTCTCTCTCTGTTTCCATCATCTCCCTGTCTCTCTCTCTCTCTGTCCTCCTCCTCTCATTTCTGTCTCTGCCTCTCTCGTCTCTGTGTCCCTCTATGTGTCTCTGTCTGTTATCTCCCTGTCTCTGTCTCTGTCTCTGTCATCTCCCTGTCTCTCTGTGTCCTCCTCCTGTCATCTGTGTCTCTGCCTCCCTCATCTGTATCTCTCTCTGTCTCGCTGTGTCTGTCTCTGTCATCTCCCTGTCTCTCTCTCTCTGTATTCTCTCCTCTCTGCCTCCCTCCTCTCTCTCTGTCTCTCTGTCTCTCTGCCTGTCTCCTGTCTTTGCCTCTGTCTCCCTCCACGCCGGCGAGCCCCTGCCTGCCTGCCTGGGGTTTCCCCTTTCCTGCCAGTCAGGGCAGCGGAAGGAAGGCAGGCAGGACTTGCTGTGCTGGGAAAAGCCAGCAGGTCTCCACTTCTCCCTTTCGCAGCCTCCTCCCCTGCCCCCACCCTTGGGGCCTTCCGCGCAAGGGTGGCCTGCATTCCCCAGGGGGCTGGGGCTGGGGCTCCCCGGCATCCTAACTCATCCGCACCAGCCCTGCCAGTGAGTCAGATGGAAGGAAGGCGAAGGGGGGCCTTGACCCTGGGCTGGGCTTCCCCGGGGCACGTCCCAAGTCCTCGCCTCCCCTCAAGTCTCCCAGGACGTCGCCACCCCAGCTGCTGAGAGCAGAGCTGGCTGTAGTCATGACCCCGCCGCTTCTCCTGGCCCTTGTGCTCTGGGCCAGCTGCCCACCCTGCAGTGGAAGGGAAGGTATGTCATCCCTGGAGGGCTGGCGGGGGGGCCCCCACAGAGGGACATGATTTTGGATCGTGTCTGCAGTGGGAACTCACATACCTCCTGTGTGCCCACGGGTGGGATGGGGTTACCCTCCCATTGTACAGATGGGGAAACTGAGGCACAGAGGAAGAGGGCCACATTGGGGGTAGAAGAATGTAACCTTGTGGGTGACAGGGAGTGGCAGTCACAGCTTAGAGATATCTTTTTTTTTTTTTTTTTCTTAAAGATGGGGTTTCTCCATGATGGCCAG